TCCCATGTACACATATAGAAACATGGGTTGCAAACAGTTACATTTACTTGCATTATTTCCTGGACAAAAATGTACTTTCATAAGAACATTTACAGCATCCTACTTTTAATGCATTGTGCAATATAACTACAAAGTATTGCTACTGTTTATGGAGTCACAGCTTTGCTTGATCTACCCTCTGTCAATAACTTAAGAATAACCATTTTGACCTAAAATACACAAGACACAGACACATAGTTTCACTTGAGTTCGTTTTATTATTTTGTCGTTTTGATATTTCCTATATCTGAGGAGCCTTCTGTGACATGTGGAGGTCAAAAGGTCTTTGGAGTTGCTGTAAGTATGGGTTTCATAAGTTTTACTGTAAGAAAAAATGGAGAACAACTTCTTCTAAGTGTTTTTAGTTTGATAATCTTTTTATTGTATTTAAAAACAGGCCACATGGTTAGGTTAAGTGCCTGACAGTAAGGCAGGTACTTACGTAGATTTAACTTGAATACAAGAGCAGCTGAAAGGACACAAACATTGCTATTTAAAAACATATGCTTTTTTCACTGAATTCTGAGCACGTAAAAAGTTGGCTTATTCCGTCATTTTCCACCAATGTGTTACTGGCCCTCCCTAACAACTCACATCTTTGTCAGTGAAGCTGAGTGCTCTCACATCTCTTCCTTTATGGTGCCCATCTACATTAAGATTCATAATTCTGAGATTGAAATTAGAATTCTGAGATTAAAATAAGAATTCTGATTGTTTTCTCACATTATACTGAAACTAAATTTAAAAATAAGTTACATTTTTATTTTTTTCAGTGGCCCTAATCGTCTTCCGTAGAAATGCATGTACAATTCTCTTTGATTGTTTTGTTCTTTGTAAGGTTCGCATAAAAAAATTAAATAAAACAGGGGTGATAGCGCCCCCTGTGGTGACATGAGACCTTTACCGCAGGTGTCTGACGGACCCACTAATCTGCTCCTCCTACAAACACCTGGCGCCGAAGGCTACAAAAAATCTCGACCGCAGAAATTAAAGCATTGTTTAACATTAAATCATTGGTGTGAAACCTGGTAAGCCATTAATATAATCTTTACTTCCTCAGAATCCGTGTATTTTTAAAGTGTTTACCGTTGAAGGGTGATTTGTGCATAGCTAATTTAGCAAAACACGTTTTTGAAGTATACTAAAACGGTTTCAGTGAGATGTTTTCTTTGTTTGTGTATATCTAAACCAAAATACAATATAAACTAAAATTAAATAAATTTTAACTTTACCGAATTGTTTTTATTTTTTCAAATTGTTTCCCTAGCATAGTTAGCTAGCAGCTTAGCTTCTGCTTCACCCGTTATGCTGACCGCTGTGAGCCGCGTGCTGGCCAAGCTGGTTTCTCCATTATGGAGAACAGCTGATGAAGATGAAGACATCTTTACAAAAAGCCCAGGTAAATGCATGTACTTTACAAGTATGTAGCTCATAACCATAGTAGCATGTAGGGACTTTTTTGCTTGTGTGTGGAAAAATGTTATTTGTGGGTATGTACATATATATA